AAATTCATATGTAACGGTCGAATTAACGGAAAAAATTTCATATGAAAAAATCGGGTAATTGCTCCAGGCGGTCGAATTATCGGGAGTCGAATTAACGGCAGTTGACTGTAATAGAGAATTGTTTGGCGTTGGGCCTCCAATCGCATATCAAGTTGCTCGACCAATGAAATTGGGTTGTTAACTCGCGTCGCGTTCGTTAGCCAGTCTTTGGACACAACCCATTCCGACATATTCAATCAATTCCTTGGACGTCTCCTCTTCCTCCGCTCAATAGACTTGCAGATCCCCTGGGATAGTCGCGTTTCGTTGGCTTGGCTTTCACAAGCATTGAATAACTTGGATTTGGCTATGCAATGAGAGTTCAGTTTACATTTCTCTGAAAACCGCGACACAATACATAACTAGTACACCACCGCACCGCACAATAAATAGACGAACATTTTAAATGAAGAATTGTCAAGATAATATATCTGGGGACAACTTGGCCGAAACACATTTGAACTTGAATAATACAAACAACAAAAATATCCGTTTACAAACAAAACATTTAAGTAGGCGCCGCTCGACTTAGAGCATGACGCGTGAATCTTTTCCCGAAGTTGGGGTGGATAGCAATAGAAAAGGGCAAAGGCCCGACTTCGGCTGCTGCCAGATGGAGCATGGGACGTCTAAGTGTTTTATGCAAGACAACTATCAAGCATGTAGCTGACAACATGAAGGTCTCTAATGCTCTCAAGACCTTTGAGGTCATCTTGTAGACATCCACCATATGATGAACCGAAAAACCACAAGGGGTTTTGCGTTCCTTTATTAGTTACACCTACGATTGTGAAAAACCACAAGGGGCGGCGTGAGATGCGCTCACGTAGCAAAGAAATGGTTATGTAATAAAAAATATCCGAGACGCATAATACCAATAACCAATTCTAAGATGCAAAATCCGATATAAAGAAACTCGACGCCATAACAATAGAATTATTAATCCCAACCAAATACTCAATCATGTCTCGGTTAGCCGTAAGAAATTACTGCTTTGTAGATAGATAACAACAGTGGGATGAACTTGGAGCATATAAACTCAAGAACAATATATTATCCAGGATTAGTATTGCTCATCGACATAGTGAGTTGAATTCGACTGGATTCCCATTCATGAAGACCAATACCAAGAGACCATAACGAGCACCTAAGGGAACGCAAGACTCAAAATCAACAGTGCCCTCGGCACCCACAGCATCATCGTCAAAATCAACAGTGCCCTCGGCACCCACAGCATCATCATCAAAATTAACATCCAAGAGCCATAACGAAAGATGCGACTTTTACTCAGATCGTTTTGATCCAATCCTCTATGGCAATCTGGAAAGGAATAGTTTAATTGAAGTGTTACAGAATCTTGGATTGCAATGTATAACTCGAACGTTTTGACCTTAGTGGATGCAATAACATGGGGACAGTCATGTTAGAAGGACTTCATTTGTGAAGAAGTGAGATTTGATTTTGGCAAAGCCAAAGACAATCGGTCGGAGGCATTCGATGAATCTTTTTGTCTAACAGTGGAATTGTTCATTTTTTATTTTATTTTATTTTATTTTATTTTATTATATATTTTTTATATTATGATTCCGCTTGTATAGGTATCCAGTACGCTCTATCAGAAACCATTTAATCAACAATGGTTTAATTGGTCGAACACTCCTGTAAAGAATTTTCTCAAGAACTATGCTAGGCAGATGTATTATAATTAATAGAATAACAAATTTTGTGGTAAATTTTAATAAATGCTAAATGATGAAGGGCGACCTGATACAACAGATGGCTTATTCAATGACGATCTACTGGTGTGCGGTAAAAAGGATTAAGGCAATACAATCATTCGACAAAAAGCATCAATAATTATATTGTTCTCAAAGCTATCACTACAATTCGATTGGTAGATCCAACTATTTAAGGCACATTCGGTGGTCTTGTTCCTGATTTCCTTTTTCCGATTCCCTTTTGAATTGGTTTCGAGTCTTTCGTCGTGTTCCGTAATTCCATACGCGCCCAAAGTTTGGAACCCAATTTTTATCCATCACTTCAGCTATAAATGTGTAATTAGACATTAGCGAATGCCGAAAGAAGACATTATAGATAATATGACCAAGATGCCGATTGAGAATTCTAAAACAAATCTTACATCTATCAAGATTGGCTCCAACACGGTTAGGATTGAGTTTTTTCAATCTCTCGGCTTTCTTTGCGGCCAAGAAAGCGTCTAATGACGGTCCAATGACGGTAGGTTTTTCAGAATCGCACTCGGTGTCGGGTTGAAGCCATGGTGGCACTATATAAGTAAAGAATTTAAATATACATAATAAGAACGAAATAATGACGCTGATGACATGTCTCACCGCTTCCTTCTGTGTAAACATTGCCTTCACCGGGCTTCAATGGCGGTACTTTAATCCTAGTTAGGTCTAAAGATGTATACGATAAGCATCACCGATATTTATTAAAGTATGCAAAGATAAACTGAATGATACTTGCTTAGTTTGGACAACTGCTGTCCCAATCGAGATGCTTTCTGATCTCTTTCCATGTTGTCTTTATACCATTGGACGGACGCATTTGGGACTAATTCTTGCTTTCGACTATCTGCCGTCGCGGCAGGCAGCAAAGGCGGGGGATGAATGAGTCCTAAATTGTAGACCGGATTAGACTTCTCTTCCATCCCAAGTTTAAGCGCTTCGTGATTCAACTTTTCAAGTTCACGTTCTTTGACAGAAGCCTTTCTTTGATACTTGTCAAACTGCCCTTTTGACAGAATAAATTCATTTATAAGCTTTTGATCTGCATTATGATTCTTGAAGAATTGCTTTACTCTGTTTTGATGTACAGTTGTTGCCATGTGAGTAAATATATGAAGACTGTGACGAAGGATATTGTGAATATTTAATGCATGGTATACGACTTCAATTATCCGATGCACATAAATACATTACCAGGCTAGTTGCTTTTCATCAACGTCTCTGAATTTAGGCTTAATCTCAATGTCACAGAATATGCACTTGAAGTCAGGTTGTTTATTTATCCCATCGACTGCTCTTATATCATTTAAGAAGATCTTGTATTTTCTGTAGTTCTTTCAGGGAGAATTATTTAGTAATTTAATGACATATACGAAATATGTTTAATCACTAGACCGACCTCCTTCTGTTTATCAAGTATTCTGTGCAGTCGTTGTTGGTGGGCTTTCGTGTATAAATGTCGGCGCCCTTCCTTGGTATTGAGTTTACAAATCGAACAGAAGGTGTATGGCATATTAATATTGAGCTTTGTCAACTTTCCGACGGAGTAGGCAGGTTGACAATTAATGTATGACACGTGGTTGGCCATACCAATCCTTAAGACATTAGTTACACGAGGGATTGGGCATAATAATAGTATTAGTATTATCAGCGTTAATTTAAATTCTAAACGTGACACTGCATTTTAAAATTATGTGACAGATTAAACCCCATCCCAAAAAGGCCCAGGTTTCGTTTTAATCTGATTTCGTTTAATCTGCCACAGTAAATAGTAAAACATTCTTTAATATTACATAATGTGCAACGTGCATAAAAAAACTAAAAATTTTGTCATACTTATACTTGTCAACGAACACGTGAACAAACCCTGTCAAATGAGGGACCGTCCGAGGAGAAAAATCGTGTTTTTTTACCAATGACCTCTAAACTCTTTTCCGCTTTATCTCGCGACATCGGACATATATTGGATGATACCGAAAAGTTCGATGTAAAGATAGAAGTGGGAGAAAAATCAAATATAGTATGTTTCCAGGCGCATTCACTAATTTTAAAGTCCCGGTCGGAATCCCTGAAGAATGAACTCGCGGAATGTGAGAAGGTGGACGGGAAATTTTCTTTGAGAAAGGCAAAGATGGAGCCAAAGGTTTTCGAAGCTGTCTTGAAGTAAGTTGAAAGGCTTGCGGACGACTTTTTTATGATGTAGCGTTAGAATATGATATGGCTTAAATAATGGGGGCGGTCATTCAGAACTGGCATTTTGTCAATAAATTCATAGTTGATACATCTTCACTGGTCGTTGGATATTACATTGATTCGGGAAGGAGATTGTGGGATACAATATGATAGATACGGTTATAATAATTCAATACAAATGATTTACATGCACTCGCCTCAACTTATCCTCTCTTGCTGAAGATATATCTACAATGCCACAATAGAATTGGAAGACCAAGAAGTACCTCGACTTCTTGATACCTTGGTTGTTGCAGATGAGCTTCTCTTACACGAACTTGCTGATCACATCGAAGAATATTTACTCGCACATGAAAACGAATGGCTGCAAAAGAACTTTACATCTGTCTGGCGTAGATCCCAAACCACTCAATTCAATACAAAACTGAAATCTTGCTGTCAGCAGGTTATCTGTGCCAATCCCAACTGTCTCTTCAAATCTGATGATTTTCTTGAACTTGATTCGAACTTGTTGGTATCTATCCTAAAATTAGAAAATCTGAAAATGGACGAAGTAGAAATCTGGAGTCATGTTGTCAGATGGGGCATCGCACAGGATCCAACACTACCAAAGGCATGCGAATGTTGGTCTAGGGACGATTATTTGAAATTAGAAAAGATTCTCCGTCCAAGTGTAGAACACATACGATGGTTTCACATATCACCTATAGATTTTTTTGACAAAGTATGGCCGTATAAAGATACGTTGCCACCCAAGTTATTAGATGATCTTATTAGAAACCATTTCAAACCAGGGACGCCATTGACGAGTATTGTGTTGCCACCTAGAATGGTTACATTTGACTCTACTGTAATCAAAATCGAACATGTTGCAAGAATTGCCAGTTGGATAGATCGAAAAGAAGACGCTGATTTATATACATATGATAATACACCCTACGATTTCAAGTTGTTGGTGGGTTGCTCTAATAATACTGTTTGATGATGTGAACATGAATGATTTACATAATACGTATGTTTTCGATTAATCAGATTCGTGGATCCCGCGACGGTTTTGATGCGGATACGTTTCATACGAAATGCGATGATCAAGGTGCAACAGTGGTAGTTCTCAAGATTCGTGACTCTGGTGAACTTATCGGAGGTTATAATCCTATCCGATGGGTAACTGGCAATGGCCATCTTATTACAGAAGAAAGCTTTATCTTTTCCTTTGGTCTAACTGGTAAAATAGAAGCTGGTAAAACTAGCCGTCCACAGAGAACCAGCTGTGCAATTCCGTTGAACGACAGAAATCATGGACCTTGTTTCGGAGATAAAGATTTGTGGATGACTAACAATTTCAATGAAGATAGGAATTGTTGGTGTCAACAGGATGATTACGCTGATAGTATTACCAGTACTTATAAATTTTGTGTTGATGAGTATGAAGTATTCCAGGTTGTGTCTAAGCAAGTAGTTAAGGGAGCAGAAAGCGTGCCGCAAGTGACGAATGAAGAAAATGATGAAAATGGTGAAAATGGTGAAAATGGTGAAAATGGTGAAAATGGTGAAAATGGTGAAAATGGTGAAACTGGAGAAAATGGTGAAACTGGAGAAAATGGTGAAACTGAAGAAATTGAAGAAACCGAAGAAATTGAAGGAATTGAAGAAATTGAAGAAATTGAAGAAATTGAAGAAATTGAAGGAATTGAAGAAAATTCGAATTCGCAAGATCATCTAACACAGAATAATGCATCAACACAAAATACGGATACGAATGCTGATAATTGACTTGTTAATCTCTTAACACATGTTCAACGAATAAACGCGTTTACTTTGATAAAATTGTCCTTATTATATCACGTGTATGACCATAGATTATCGCAGATCAGATCAAATTAACTTGCCCTGCATGTGATGTGTGATGCCAATTAGTCCAACGAGGGTTAAACTCTCCAAGTGCAAACATGAGCGAGGTTCACGATCTTTGTGTAGCTCTATTGTCTTGTCTAACAATATCGACTATTGATATATGTCATCCCTACAGAAAAGTTTATTTAAAGAAAATTCCAGTTTAAGCAAAACGATCTCAATGGGAGACACCTCAGAAGAAGAGGAGAACGGAGATTCATTTGGAGAATTACCACCGCGAACGTAAGAAACGATGCCACTCTTGTCTCACATCCGTAACGTAACAATCTCATAGAAATTCTTGTGATCAGTCTTGCAAATACTCGTGATCGAAGCGATTGTTCTCCCATCCCGTGGGAGGATTTCTTCCCTATCTCCCTTGATGTTGACATTCCTGAAACAGAGGACGCGTTTCGGACGTACGAGATTCCAGGGAACAACCCAGATTCACCCATCTTTGTATTTCATCATGGAGCCGGGTATTCCGGACTGTCATTCGCACTTTGTGCCAAGAGAACACACGAGTTACTGAAAGGAAGTTGTTGTATGTTCACATACGATTGTCGAGGACATGGTATATATCTGACTAGAAGCGGACGAGTCATCGGATGTTTTGATTGTATAATCGATATACTAACCCAGTAGTTACTTTAGGTGCAACACGTACCTCTGATGAGACAACGTGGTCATTGGAAAGATTAAGCCAGGATGTCGTCGATGTTTTAACGAATTATTTTGGTGGAATGAATAGTTTAAAGACGAGGGATATATTTCTTATCGGACACAGGTGTGTTTGAGTTTAGGTCTTTGTTATGTAGCGAGAAACAAGTGCACCTATGTAATATAACGAAACATTTGTTTGCCATAGTATGGGCGGATCAGTTGTAGCGGAAGTAGCATCAAAACGTTTACTACCATCTGTCACGTGTATTGCTTTATTAGATGTTGTAGAAGGTATACAGTTTAATTTGATTGCGCTTGAAACTCTTAAAAAGTATATGACTATATTTAACTATTATCTAGGATATGCTGTGGAAGCTCTAGCTGGAATGCTATCATATCTTAGAACAAGACCCGCGGACTTTGATTCACTTGAACGGGGCATAAAGTGGAGGTAAACAAGCAATAAAGTGATATTATCAAGGGAAAGCGTCAAAATCGACTATATAAATCATTTCAATTTTTCCAAAAGCGTCAAGTCTCATACAATACGTAACCGCCAATCAGCCCGTATATCATTCCCATCAACTTTAAGAGAAGTCGGCCACGATACGGGCAAGACAAAATACGTATTTAGAGCGGATCTTGCCGCGTCACAGCCATTTTGGGAGGGTGAGTTAAAAATGAGCAAGCAACAATATTGTACGAGAAAACGATAATGCTAAAAGTAAAAATTTTGACAGGTTGGTTTAATGGATTATCTGAAAAGTTCTTATCAGCAAAAGCAGCCAAACTGCTGGTCCTCGCAGGTATGCATTGAAGCTGATGCGACGTTTCATGATGGCTTAATAACTTACAGAGAATACCCTTCTTATTACCTAATCGTGCAAAAGGTACCGATAGATTGGATACACCGCTAACTATTGCGCAGATGCAAGGTACGTAGCTCTGTAATTGTTGTGAGGTTCAATATGGGAACTCTGAAGTGTGAGGATATCTTTCTAATTCAAAGTTTTCATAGGCAAATACCAGCTACTCGTGATTCCCGAGGTTGGCCATCAGTTGCACGAAGACGACCCCGAGAAGACAGCTCAGGCGTTGACAGATTTTTGGAAACGCAATGAAAGATTGATATTACCCCCAAGAACACTCACAATCTAGAAATAAATGATTACGCAGTAAGGCATCTGTTACCAACTGTTGATTATGGTTTAATACATATTACACAAGTAGTTTGTCATACTCGGTTCTTTAACTGTAAATAGTTGTGGGAACGCTGATCAGACTGTTTATAGCCTAATGCGGTCAAGATCAACCAAGATGTCCGCTTTTCTATTTCCAGTAGAGATGGGCAGATGGCTGAAGTAAGAAAAATTTTAATATTCCCATCATGGTACTTTGTGTCCTCAGTTGGAAAAGAAATCTTCCACAAACAAAAGTGGCTGATGTGTTGTGGAAGATTGTTCAACATCGTCAGACTCGATATTCCGACTCTTTCAGCAATTTCCATATCGGATGAGCGAAGATCTGCTTGTTATTCTCAACTACTGTCATGCTCTAATACTAACCCCACGTTATAATCATGTTAATGTATGTTGATATATGTAGCTTGGAAATAAAGTCCTACGCTATAAAACGTTAACATTCGGAATGTACGGTTAACATCTATCCGTCAATGACCAATGCTTCGTCTTCACGATTGATACAACTTGTACATTTACAAAATAATGATAATTGGCACGATAATATACCTTAAACATTTGGCTTTATTCAACATTCTTGGTGTTCAAATTTACCCTGCTCATCATTTTATCCAACATCTGTATTTTCTTGTTGTCTCTTCTCTTTGTCGAGCTTTTTATTCTGATTATTTGATCATTTGCTGGAGTCATTTGTTCCATTCCAAGCGATCCAGCACTTGCTTATCTATACAAGACTACTTACTACTTTACATTTCTCTTATTACATATTGAACATCAAATATACTTATCAAAATAACTACTTTACTTCATATACAAACACCATCCAAATAAACAGGAGTTATAGACCTGTTAACCATAATTAAATTATGGCATATAGTTTCCAGAAAGATGTGGAATTCCACATTTCTAGAAGAAACGGGGGGAAATTACCACAACATGATTTATGGAATATTATTCCAACCAGAAAGATTGATTTCCAACAATAAGATATATTGTTTCGTTTCATTTCAACCGCCACCGTCATCTCCACCTTTTATTCCTCCTCCCTCCTCAACGCCTCCACACACATCACGTTGAGTGTCTTCTCGTCCATTAACCGACCATGATGGCTGAACTATGCGACTATCGGCGTCATCGTTCATACCAAATCCGCTCGGTTCGGACTTTGGCTCAATCGCTGAGAGCACCGGAAAAGCATCAGCCATATTAATATTAATGTCCTCGTAGTTTGGGTCTTCATACATAACTGAACCCCATATAGCAACGCTTTCTTCGATACTGTATGCGCTTTCCCATTCGCTTTCGTCGTAGAGGCTGTCATCGAATACGGAATCCTCTTGCGTCAAAGGTGACGGCTTCAAAGTATATACTGGAGTTGTTGGGGGCGTAAGTACGATATGCTCCCCGAGTTGTTTATCGTCCGCTTTCCGAATGAAGCGAGTGTTTTCTGCGAACTCCATCGGATAACTGTACAATTTGGGACGGTTAAGAGGCAAGGCAATATAAGCGGGAGAAGCTGGGGGCGATATATGCGCAGTTGCGTTGGCTTTTTATGCTCTACCGAGTCTGATTTTCGAGGTATCTAATTGTGTGCTCTCAGCTAGATGAATTGGTTGTGTGTGGGGGGGGTAGTGGGTTATAAGAGCATCGAGTAACAATACCGCAGCTTAGACCGCAGTCGCTGCGGGATGGGATACGCAGTCGATATATTTTCGGCTTTTGATATGATTCGTTCTACTACGCATGCTTGTTATAACATACTGACAAGAGTTGGCATATTGCTGAATATGGAAGTTCATTGCATTTCGGGTTTTTATAGTACTTTTTTTTTTAATAAAAAATGTCAACAACTGTACTGTCGACAAGTGTATCATATTTGTGCCACTCGAAACATTATACAAATTTGTTATTTACAGTTCTGGGCGCTCGTGCTACAACACAATGGAATTGTTGCACGCCACATCAATATCACTATATAATCTCCAACTTGTTTTCCTCTTCATGGCAGCTATAGAGAAGAAGCGGGCGGAGGAAAGAAGGCCAAGAAAACGGTAAACTGTTTCTCTTGACTTGTAGGTCTTTATCGCCGAGATAGCAATGCCAAGCATATAAAATCTTGTCAATCAATTAGAATGTTCCTTTACAGTAACAAAGAAGGGAATAAGGTGTATTATCGGTTAAACTGTTATCTATCTATGAATTCAATTGCTCAAAAACATGCTAAATTATTTTATTACGCATCCATGAGGAGTAGTTTAGATTCATGCGCTGTATAATTCACTTATTGAACAACGTTAATTAAAGTTTGATCTTATAAAATTCTCCAAAAGTATTTGCAATGCCCATGCGCTTGAATGGGTGATCTCAATGACTCATTCCAGATAACTGTTAAATTATCCAATAGCATGTTGTGTTGATTGGTATGTATAGGTGGTATAGGACAAGCTGTATCACCTGAAAGCATTGTTGAGGGTATCACGGAATAATTTAAACTATTACTGATGGGGATATTCCTTCGCTGAAGCTTGTCTGACTGTAAACTACTTAAACGAGTGTGCATATCTAAAACGGGAGCATAGAGCTAATTATCAGGATCAGCAACCAGCATGTCGCTCTTCCCTGGTAAGAGCAACTGCAAGACTGTATGTTAGAAACTACTCAATTTCGATGATGTAAAATACATTTTATTTTGCTGCGGATGATGAAACCATTAGCTCAAACAAAGATTTAAAGTTCCTCCTGATAGTGTCACAAGGATTTCAGGATCGGAGATGTCATATCGTCCATATTTATCGAAAGTGACATCATCAATGATTGCACAATCCAATAAATAACCCACTAGTTAGGAAAACTGACGCGCGACTTTTGTTAGATTCTGCGTGTTAGCATATCTTCGATTCCTTTAATATTATAATTATCGAGTAAATTCCTGTTAATTTGTTCGACTTTCCGATAAATACAGTGTGTTCAAGAATACTTCCGATTTCTAGTAATTCCTTGTACTCTGAAATACATTATTTGTTCCCTGGTGATTATTCCATATCGCTGTGAACCACTAATCCCTATATCGATTAGGAATTGTCCCGTGGGTATTGCTCGTCTAAGTATAAATGCATTTTAGATAGATACAAATATACCCCAACCTACAGGATTCCGAATTAATCAACACAAGGCCGTGAGTGGTAAAGCCTGGTTTAAAGGTCACTAACCATTGTCGTATTTAACTAAAAGTAGAAGCCACAGCTCCATTTGAAAATAGCCAAATCTCAAGGTCAGCGATCGATTGTTCCCGCGATTATTGACTCGACACTCTCCATCCTCTAACTTTTCTTGAGGCATTTTGCTGTAAAAGAAGAATAAGTGTATTTATTTTTAATGAAAAGATAGAAAAGACCACGTGCTTACCCGGGGTATGATGCAACAAAACCAGACAAAGTGAACATTTTATTATGTGACATAAATAAGAGGCTGATTATGATGTAGCTGCAAAATTGACCAGGGTGACTAATTATATATGATAAGTTTTCGGAATTTTCGTTTTAAAGACAGTCTTACTTTCAACATTGCTACTCACCAAGTAGCAGCATTCAACGATAATGATGATTATGCTGACATAGCTTATATTTGTGTTGATTGTAAAAAGGATTTTAAAAATGATACTCTTCCTTACTGTAAACTTTGTGGTAGACTAAAGAGAAATAGGAAAGGTTGCTTTTGTAATCTGTTAGAGAATAAACCAATACAATCACTT